ACCATAATTTTTTTTCCCCCGTAAAATTTTAATTAACGTATTTTCTTGAAATTTTTTTTTGGTTTTTTTTTTTTTTTATTTCTAATACTTCTATTGGATATCCTGTTAATCACTATTTCAACCTTTCAACCATAAGGCCATAGACTACCTACGTGAACCCCAAGTAAAAAAAAAAGTTTTTTTAGGAGCTTCCCCCAAATTACCAAAAATTCTATGATATGAAATATGAGTATTTATAATAATTTCAAACATTCTTCGTTATGGAAGAAACACAAGGACAAACATTTAAGGAATCACCTACAGTAGTGATAAATAAACACGGAACTCACCGTCAAAAATATCCACCATATTGAAAAAGGCCAAAGACAAGGATGATTTCCCGCTGCCTGTTCGTCCACAGATTCCCACCTGACAGGAAGAGAAGGTTGGACATGTGACAGTTTGGTGACACGTGACTCACCAAAGTGAAAACTCTTTGTGGTCTGAGGTTTTTCACTGTAACGTCCTCAGGATCGTAGTCGAGAGAGCGAGCGAGCGCGAGAGAGAGACAGAGAGAGAGAGAGAGACAGAGAGAGAGACAGACAGACAGAGAGAGAGAGGTCTGCCTCAGTCTGCGTATGTGTGTGGTTTGAGGATTTCTTTTCCCTTCTTGTCCTCTGAGCCTTGTTGAGTGGTCACTGCAAGAGCCTTTAGGAGTCACTAGAGAGTCCTTAAATACTACTACTGCTAAATATCACATGTTGTCCCTGGGACTGATCCACCAAGATTTGTTACTCCTTGATCACCTGCCTTGAGCCTCTCGAGGAGATACGTAATAAGTTTGTGATTTTTTTTTTTATTTTTTTTTTTTTTACTTTTTCAGTGTCCTGCTGCTTATTACGATGTGATGCTGTTAAGCTAGATCAGAGGTTCCCAACGGTGGGGTCAGCTGCAGTACCATTGTGGGGGGTGGTGGAATGTATGACTGAAACGTAGTGCAGTATATTGTCCAATGCTGTAAATGTTTAACAAGAGACTGGCAAAAAGCGATTGGTTGAAGGCGGTGTAAAATGAATCTCTGATGAGGATATTGCAAAGGAGGCTGTGATGAAATTTGTGATGTTATTCTTGTAACAGGAATAATTTTCCGACTTTTCTTATAACATGACTTTTTTTTCCCTCGTAAAATTTCAATTAACGTATATTCTTGAAATTTTATTTTGACTTTTTTTTTTTTTTTATTTCTAATACTTCTATTGGATATCCTGTTAATCACTATTTCAACCTTTCAACCTAAGGCCATAGACTACCTACGTGAACCCCAAGTAAAAAAAAAAGTTTTTTTAGGAGCTTCCCCCAAATTACCAAAAATTCTATGATATGAAATATGAGTATTTATAATAATTTCAAACATTCTTCGTTATGGAAGAAACACAAGGACAAACATTTAAGGAATCACCTACAGTAGTGATAAATAAACACGGAACTCACCGTCAAAAATATCCACCATATTGAAAAAGGCCAAAGACAAGGATGATTTCCCGCTGCCTGTTCGTCCACAGATTCCCACCTGACAGGAAGAGAAGGTTGGACATGTGACAGTTTGATGAACAACAGAGTGACGCCTCTTTGTGGTCTGAGGTTTTTCCCGCTTCACTGTAACGTCCTCAGGATCGTAGTCCCTGATTCTTCTGAGGATCAGATTTTATTGACTAATGATGTTTACTAAGTCACCAGCTGAAAGGACGAAAAGTTTAACCAATGACAGCAAAGAACCGTGAATGGATGTGTTGTGGGGGACACATCCATTGGTCTTGTTCAGGTTTAAACAAAGCTTCGGGTGTCAAACATATGGCCCATGGGCAAAAACCAGCCCACAAAACCAATTTTTTTGGGTCGTATCACGTCATGTTTCCCAGGAGTTTAAGAATAATTACTATTGACTTGGGTTTGTTGGTGATGTTTTGGTTGGTGATGAACTGTATTACTGGTGGCTCTCCGATTAGTTTGACACCCCTGCTCTGTATTAAGCTTCTTGCTAGTTAGCATTCTAAGGTACGTCTTATGTTTCTACTCGTTGTTTTAACCCCTGATGTTCTATAGTTCCTTAAGCTTCTAGTTGTAGCTTTTTAACATTTGTGTATACCTCTAGCTAATTTTAGTACCTTTTGTACTCGCATTTTCTTTGACGATCATAGTTAGCCTGAATTTGTAGCATCTGGTTTAGCTACTGTATGGTCAGCTACTATCTGCTACATTGTTTGTAAGACTTTAACCTTTTTTAATCTTAAGCTTCTATTCTTGGCCAAATGTGCATTTAGCCGTAGCCAGTTTGTTGTGTTGTTTTGTTTTATATTTGTTTCAATTCCATTCACCTTTTACAAATAAAACTCCTGTAAGACGAAAAGTTCTCGGAAAGCAGAGCATTCCTCCGTTCATCAGAACTTCCATGGCTGTGTGAAGCGAGCTCCTGGTTTCTCATCAACAGTATGTGAAATATCTATAATGTGCAAGTGTCAAATAAAGGTTACCAGACAGGTGCTAATTTGTTGATGACACAGCAGATTTGCATGGGCAAGTGTTCGACTTCGCTCCTATTTAAAGGGTCCATTATTTTTGTCCTACAGTTAAAGAGTCAAATGTGAACAAACCCTTTCCTCACATCTGTGTAAACAGCTTTTTTTTCTTTTTTTTTTTACACTCAGATCTCAAGTGTGCTGGACCTCGCTCTTTGCAGCTCCGTGTTAAATACCTTCTGCCCTGGTTCGATGTAAGCGTTGACGTGTTTGAGCACAGGTTTGAGGCTCGGGTCGTAGCGAACACACAGGTCTTGGATCATGATCTCTCCATTCTTTGGCCAATCGTCAGGAACCTGCGAGGACTCTGCGGAGAAAAGATTCAAAAGTCTCACATCCACTCAAAGTGAATGTTTGGACAGACATATGCAAGAAAGGTGTTTTTTTTGTTCTGAAGTCATTAGTACTTGACTTGGTTTGAAACAGTACTTCTCAAATAGTGGGGCGGGCCCCTCTGGGGGGGCGCAGTGAGATGCCAGGGGGAGGTGTGAGGGGCTTCCATAAGTGTACCACTGCTGTAATGCTTGAATGATAACAAGCCTCCAGTCACTAGGTGGCAGCAGGGGGTGTGGGTTGGAGGCATACGAGGGGGGCGTGAAAACATTTCTGTCACCAAGAGGGGGCATGACAGAAAATACTTGAGAACCACTGGTTTAAAATTTAGGCAGGGTCCAACTTGATCTTCAGAATCAGTAATCATCACATAACTGCAGAACGTTACTTTACTCAACTTAATAGACGCCGCTGTTGCAGTCTGTGTAAACAATAGCTAGCGGAAGGAAAGTACCTAGCAAGACCTTAACCCTGATCGCAATCTGCACAATAATTGCTGAAAAGATTTTAACATACCCAACTTTACACCAAACTAGGTAAGGTTAGCCAAATGGTTGCGATCAGGAAATGAGTAGATGGATGCCAGGCTAACGGAAGACAAACGTAACATTCCAATATGTCTGTACCATATACCAATATACAGGGTTTAAAGAAGGGAGGCTTGATCTGATACTCGGAATCACTATCCGTTGGATAAAAGTCAAAATTTCAGGATCGTATATCGTAAAAAACAACTATAGCCCAACTGAACCAATAGCTAAGTCCAAATGCTCGACTTAACTTTGCGCTACACGCCATCAACAAAGATCCTACCACCTCAGCAATGGAATGCTGGAGGAGAAAATAAGGTATCAGATTCCGTATCAGTATCCAGTATATTTTGGAACGACCTTGGACACAAACCTTCCAGAAACAGCTTCTTGGACAACACAGATGTACTGGAGTCCAGCCCAGCCAGTGCCAAAGTTGGTGAACAAATCAAACAAAAAGCAGCTAAAAGATAATTCTCTCAACTCAACAACCGGCCAAAAATAATCCAGATCCTAAAAACGTTAAAAAGCAAATTAATGTGGTCAATAACTCAACAGAAGGGGGTTGACGTCATTGGTTTAAACTGAAGTAAATCTGAGAGGAGAAATACAATCATCACTTACCAGCTACAATGCGTAAGTGTTATTACTGAAACAATGTCACTGAAGTCCTTAGCTAAACACAACAAGTCTATAAAAGGTGAAACACTCTCTGGCCCTGCCAGTAGAACACACTGTTTGGGTGCATCGCCTTGGAAACGGCCCATCTGATACAAACACATGAGACACAGTCTGAGCTGAAGATCAAACTGTCCATTTAACTTTAGATCATTGTTCTGTGCTTGGTTTTTATAAAAAAAAAATAGATGAGTTACATAAAGAAAACACCTTTATACACTCAAAAAAAAAGGGCACATCAGGTTTAGCCTCAGTGGTTTTGCATGAAATAGATGAGTTACATAAAGAAAACACTTGTCTGTATCATAGACCGTTGCTTTTTCTCTTTGTTTTTGTCATTTGCTCTGGTACGATCTTTGGTAGGGATGTCCGATAATATCGACTGACCGACATTTTCAGCCCAGGTGGTAACATCGGTAAGAATCGTTATTGGTTTTTCCTACGATAATGAAAACCCAATGACACAATGCCTGGGTTTCGCACGATATGCTGAAATTGCGTCAAAACAGTGTTTGGACATAACATCGGATATCCCCTATTCTTATTTTTAGAGTCTTACCCACTGAGCCCTCGTAATTCTCTGACTCCGTGCTGAGGAAACTGTCGACCTTCTTCACAGCTGACATTTGCACCTCCAGGTCAGCCAGGTTCCTCACCACCCAGTTCAGGTAGTTGGTGACCTAAAACCAGGAAAAGAGCGGATTGGAAATTTAATATAAAAAAAAGGGATGTTCAATGGAAACGCACTCAGCTGGTGGTCAGCACGAAAACTCAGGTAGAAAGATGGGCAACTTACCGTGAGGGCGTAGGTGAGTCCGAGTCCCACCAGACTTACATCCAGACCTGAGTGTGAAGTCCAGATGGAGGCTCCCGCTGCTGTGAGGACAATCATGGCTCCTAAATAATCCTGAAGCGATGGAAACAAAAGACCACAACAGTTACAAGTTTAATGTGGTTCAACATATGAACAAGATAGGGTTGGTCTACTAGAAGGTCTCTCACCGTGCGAACCTCCAGCCAGCGGTTGGCAGCAGACAGAAACAGGTAGGCAGTGTTGTTGGTGTCCGTCAGCTCCAACATTCGCTGCTTAAAACGAGCCTCGTGTCTGAAAAACACAGTTTTGATCATTGATTTATTCTTGTGTTTATTGGATGAAGAATTTAATTACATTTAGGTTTTTCCTTATAGGCTACAATTAGCCGTCGGTTTTCGACATTTTCAACCAACAGAGTTTTGTGGTTACGTTGCAATCTCCCAGAAATGTATAAGGAAGATCTTGTTCCATCATCGTCAGTACATTCCAATGTACTGCATTAAAACTTGTCAGTAGTTGCACGGAACCAGTTGGTGAATGGAGAAGACAAATACGTTGTCACACTATACGCAGACGACTGCTTTTTTACTGCTGGTTGTACGCCATAGATTGGACTGTGCTACATTCAGACCCTTATGTTTTAATATCCTAGATTTAGTTGTTACCACTTGTTAGCTGTGTCATGTTAGCAAAAGTGAGTGACATAGATACTTATATTCAGTATGTGAGTTCTGACTGATGGCAAAAATCGCATTACGTTGCGCCATAGGAACAGAATTCTGGCGTAAGTCAAGGACCCCTGAACAAAACTGTTGCTGCATTTGTTTTGTGAAATGAGCAGCTGTTGATGGAGTTCTCAATTTTTTTTTGTCCAATTTTGCTAACACGAAGGGCCCTTTTTGCTGTACACACGGCTTCGTTTACGTTACTTGACTGAGTAGAACTGATCAGGTTTACTAACAGCTACAGACATAAAATGTGTGTTTTGGTGTTTTTTTTAATTATTTTATTACCAGTAATTAGTGCCAAAACTAATTTTGCCATCATCATTGATTTAGGGTTTGATGACCACCCAAAAAAATCCACTGTACGTACTGCAGTGGTTTTCAGTCCAAACACTGGATAATGATAATGGGAATAGTCGTGAAGCTGCCAAGAATGTGCAGATCCACTGTGTGTGCGTGTGTGTTTGTGTGTGTGCGTGTGTTTAAGGAAGTCCTCAGGGAAGTGGAGGAGGAGAAAAAGCGTGAGAGTTGTTTATCGTTGGATTATAACATGGGAAACAGAGTAAAAACACAAATACAAGGAGATACGGCAGAACAGACACTGAACCAGTGCCTCTGTCCCACCATTGACCAGGGAGATCCAAAATCTGGCCCCAGGGCCAAGTAATGACACATGAGTAGGTTAAGAATGGCCAAACTTTTCCCTTTATGCCCAAATGTTCAATGGATTTCTCCATTGGTAACAACATTAAAAACAAAGAGCTCCACCTGAAAGCTCTGATGGTGGTCAGACCTTCTGCCGTCTCCGAAAAGTGACACAGCAAAGGCAGCTGGGTGGAGTCGTCCAGATCCTGAAGGTCTCTGTGGACGGTTAAAAAAAAAAAAAATTTTCATGTAATTTTGTTACTAAAATAAACATGTTGCATTAATGGGTTGTCAGCACTCACTCACTTAGAAGCAACACGGAAATATTTCTGTATAAAGTAGAAGGCGACAGCGAGCGGAACCAAGGCGATGATAAAAACAGGAGTGATGGCGGAAATGACACCGATGGCGGACAAACAGAGCAACGTGGACCTGGTCAAAGACTCCAGGGTCGGAGGAATGTGCTAAAAAAAAATAAAAATCAGAAGTTTCAATGTTTAGATGAAAAATAAACAGGTGCGGTAAATGAAAATAATTTATAAACAAACTCGATATTTCACAAGCAGCAGCAGCAGCAGCAGCAGCATGATCGGAGCACTTCGAAACAAATCTCTGGTTTACCTGGTCTATGATGTTGGTGTCAGCCGAGAATCTGTTGAGGATCTGACCCAGAGGAGTGATGTCAAAAAATCTGTAAAGAACAACGCGTTCCGTTATTTCTCTTCCGTCTGTGGCTGATTTTTTTCAGCGCTGTGTTGTGTTAGACTTGGTCGTCACCTGATGTGAGCGTGAATGATCTTGTTGAGCAGATTGTGATGGAGGTTAGTTGCTGCTGAAACACCCAGAAACTCCACGGTGAGGGAGGTGATGAGACACAGAGTGATTCCTGCAGCGCACAGAGCAATGAAGACCGAGAGGTGGTAGGAGTCCTGCTGCTCACACACGCACACACACGCACACACACGCACACACACACGCACACACACACGCACAAAGACACACATGGATTTTAGAACTCCTAAGCCCCATACCTCGACCGTCACTGAAGTTAAAAAACCCAGTACCTCGTCTCCGAGAGGCGTTGGTTCTGTGATGTTACCAAGGAAACTGCTGTTCATGAACCTGCTGTAATTGGACCTCGGTCCAACACCGGGAACGCTCTGATTGGTCTTGGACGACGTCCAGTCGGCCAACCAGTAATCGATAGCAACGATTACAGAATGTTTAAGAAGTTTACAGGAGACCATGAGAAGAACCATGAAGAAGCCGCCAGAAGAGAGGTAGCACCAGCACACCTGAGGAGGAGGGAAAAGAAAAAGATGTATGTGCGGTTTCTGCAGACTGAACCGGGTGAAAATATAGAATAAAGGGATTACAGACTTCATTTACCTTCCATGGAATTTTAGATCTTCTGTTGGTGGTGGTGGAGAAGTTGTCATCGTCTTCTTCTTCTACTTCTTCCTCTGATCGTGTAAAGGTTTGAATTGTTTTTAACAATTTAGAAATAGAAGGATGAGCAGAAGGAAAGACAGAACAGGAAGGGGAAAATATTGGGCAGGAAAAGAAGTAGACTGGATTAGTAGGATTGGAGGACGTGTCCAACTCAAGGCCCGTGGGCCGAATGCAGCCCGTCAAGTCCTTTTGTGTTGGTATTTGTAACTCAATGAAGTAATGGAGTAGTTACATCTATACAGTCGTCCAGTTACGACAGGCCCTTCAAGAGGAACCGTATTGTTGATGTGGCCCCGGTGACTCACCCTCATCCTCATCGTCCATCTGATTCTTGGCTTCTCTTGAGTAAAACGCTCTCCTCAGAGTTTTTCTCTCCAGCGTGGTTT